TCTTTGACAAAAAAGCCAAAAATATACAGTGGAGAAAGGAAAGTCTCTTCAATAAATGATGCTGGGAAAACTGGAAAGCCACCTGAAAAAGAATGAAACTAGACTGTTGTCTATCGCCACACACCAAAATTAATTCAAAATGGATTAAAGACCAGAACATAAGACCTGAAACAATAAAATGCACAGAAGAAAACATAGAAACTAAACGCAGGGACCTTGAACTTAAAGAGGATTTTATGAATTTAATCTCAAAGGCAAGGGGAGTAAAAGCGAAAATAAATAAATGGGACTACATCAAAAAAAACACTTCTGCTCAGCAAAAGAAACCGTCGACAAGGTAAAGAGACAACCATCTGAATGGGAAAATATATTTGTGAGCAACGCTTCCAATAAGGGCCTAATATCCAAAATATACAAAGAATTCATATGACTCAATAACAACAAAAAAACAAATGGTCCAATCAAAAAATGGGCAGAGGACCCGAAGAGACACTTCTCCCTACAGGACATATAAATGACCAACAAATATATGAAAAGATGCTCAACATCGCTACCTATTAGAGAAATGCAAATCAAAACTACAATGAGATATCATCTCACACCTGTTAGAATAGCTATAATCAACAGGACAAGTAATAACAAATGCTGGAGAAGATGTGGAGAAAAAGGAACCCTCATACACTGCTGGTGGGGCTGCGAATTTGTACAGCCTCTATGGAAAACAGTATGGATGTTCCTCAAAAAACTAAGAATTGAGCTACCATATGATCGAGCAATCCCTCTACTGGGTATTTACCCCAGTCTTAAAAATTCATATCCATAAAGATATTTGCACACCAATGTTCATAGCAGCATTATTCACAACGGCCAGGACATGGAAGCAACCGAAGTATCCTACATTAGATAATTGGATAAAGAAGCTATGGTACATATATACAATGGAATATTACTCAGACCTAAGAAGAGATGAAATACTGCCATTTGCAACAACCTGGATGGACCTCGAGATAATCATGCTAAGTGAAATAAGCCTGACAGAAAAAGTTGAAAATCACATGATATCACTATATGATATCATGTTGAAAATCACATGATATCACTATATGTGGGATATAAATCTAAAAGCAACAAATGAACAGGACAGAGACTCAGAGACATGAACAATGGACTAGTGGTTACCAGAGAGTAGGGGTTGGGGGAGGAAGGAAGAGGTAGACTACGTAAAGGGGGTCAAATATAAGAGGGTTGGGGGAGGGTAAAGGGGATCAAACATATGGTAGCTGAAGGGAACTGGACTTTGGGTGGTAATCATACAACAGAATACATACATGTCAAATTATAATGTACACCTGAAAATTACAATTGTATTACCTACTGTTACCTCAATACACTTAATAAAAACATCACTCCAAATCCAAAATTATCTTTAAAATAAGTGATCTTTACACCTATCTTTATATGTGCTTATGTAGATAGAATGACAAATTTAGAAAGAATAAGACCATGTTACATATGCCATTACTACTAGTACTAAATTTAGCTATATTTCAAAATAATAAAAGAAAATCAGGCTGAAAGAATGATTGGACTTTGAGTATTTCTTTGAAAGAGAAATCTCCTAAAAAGTATAAAACAAAGTAGCTGTAGTCATTATGCTTTTTTATTTTTTAACTCTCAAATTTAGATGATTCCTATTCACTGAGAAATTATTCTTATTTCTCCTCCAATCTCCTCTTTCTCCATCTCTATATTTTGTTATTTTTATTTTGTCCAGGTTGATAACATTCACATCCAGTTTTGCAACCATAATTTGTATGGTTAATATGACTTCTGCATTCAAAGGACACAATGCTCATCATCAATTCTTTTGTCAAGTTTCTCCATTCCTGAATTCTTCATTTTGATTTACTCGTAATTGGATAAGATTTCCTGTCAAAGTTTTTTTTTCCAGATGAATTCACAGGTCTTGAATTTTTTGTTTTTTTCATATGTTGGGAATACATATCTGCTGCCTTTACATTAGAACAATAACTTGGACTGGGTAAGTATTCTGGGACAATCCCTCCACCTCCTTCCCTCAGAACTTTGTGGAAATTACATGAAATGTTGCTGTAAAAAAACCAAGGTAAGCCCAGCTTTTTCCTTTGCATGTTTTTTTCTACCTCAAGAATTATTTATCCTTAAAGTTCCAAATTTTCCTAGAACCCGATATACACATTCAACCTGCCATTTCAATTCTGTCTTTTCAAAAAAATTCTCTCTGAATGTATTTTCTGTCTCATTTGTTGGGTCATCTTTAATGGTCTTTCCTTTACTATTGGCTTATCTCTTAGAGCTTTTTTCACCTGTGTTTGATATTACTTCAGATCTTTCCTTTAATGTCTGTAATTTAATTTTCGTCAATGTCTACTCTGTTCCTTGCTTTTATCTAATTTATTAATTTCACTGATCTTCAATTTGTTTTCTTAGTTCTTTAATCTCCTTATTTTCATCTCATCCTGTTGCTCTATCATCTTCTCCGAGTCTTATTTTACCAAATTAATATTATTAACCTGCTCCACAGCAGCACGGTCCAAAAGAACTTTCTGCAATGACAAAAATGTTGTAATATGCACTGTCCTGTATAGTATCCACTAGCCATGTGTGGCTATTAAGAATCTGAAATGTGCCTCGTGCAAATGAAGAACTGAATTTTCTTTGAATTAATTTAAATGAAAATAGTCTCATACAACTAGTAGCTACTGTACTAAACAGTGCAGTTATACAGTCCGGAGCAACTGAAGAGAATTTCCTTCATTTCCTTATGTTTTTCTTCTAGGTCCGTCTTTTCATACTAGGTTCTGTTGTTTTTGCAAGTGTTTGTCTAGTCACCACATCATTCTTCATGTCATCATATTTGAATTGCTCTGTCTATGCTAGTTGCTCTGATATAACATATGGACTCTTTCTCCTAATATCTGATACCAGTTCGTTTTCCCTCATAAAAGGACAGGCGTTTCTGTAGCCCGGAAGAAAGACGGGGCAGGAAGAGAGAGGCAGACAGTTGGTTCCAGCTGAAACAGTATTTGCTAAAATTCCTAGTCTCTGAGATTTTGTTATTTTATACCAGGATTCACACCACCTATCCGGCAGGGTTGGGGCCGAGGGTGGCAGGGGGTGAAGGGAGGTGTTGGCTTATACCACTCCACAGACCAAAAAAATTTCCTTTGCAGAGAATTAATCCTACTATTCACTTCTCTCACTCGCTCACTGTTTTCTCCATTTCCTCCCAAGCAGCCATTTTCCTATTCCTCACTCCAAAAAGGAAAAATCTAAATATCCACTCAATGTGCTTCTCTCTAGTTTTGAAAATACAGGTGAAAATTTTCAGGATTTGGTCAGTTCACCAGTATGGAATTTGGGGGATGGGCATGTTAGAAGATAAACCATGCTGTGCCGCACCCCCACCACCAGTTTGGCTGCAGAATTTGTTTCTGTCCCTGGTGGCTAGTTTTTGAAGAGCACTGCATTAAGTTATATTTCTTCCTTATTGCTGTGATTTTTTTCTGACTTATCTTTTGCTCATTCTATGGGAAAATTCCAATCCCCCATTTTAAATATACCAGGTTAAAAATGCTTTAACTACTTTAAACCTAAATGAGTATAGGACCAGTTTGTTTTGAGCTTAGAAATGACTATCTGTGTGCACTGGAATTGAATAGGAAAACTGGAAGTATAAGTACCAGGGAAGGCATTATGGTAATCCCAAAAAAGAAGATGGGGCCCTGCCCCAACATGGTGGCAGTAAAGATGGAAAAAAAGTGGCAAAACCATTAAAAAACTTTACTAGACATAAAGAATGAAGGGAAGACCTAAAACTCCTCAATAGCTTCTAGTTGCTTTTAAGATAAAAACCAAAATTCTTAACAACCTTATAAAGATACACATCTGGCCTTTGCCCAACGCTATAGCTTCCTCCTGTTCCACTCATCCCCTCTGTTCATTCCTTTGCTGTCTATGCTCCAGCCACACAGATATTCTTTCAGGTCCTTGAGTATGCGCCCTCCTACCTAAGGTCCTTTGACATGCTGTTCCCTTTGCGTAAAACACTCTTTTCCTTTTTTTTACTTGATTTACTCTTACCTAGATTTCAAATCTTAACTCAATTCTCACTTCCTAGGGAAGTTTTCTCTGATCCTCCAAATTAGGCCAGTTCCCCTCTTATGTGTTTTCATAACACTTCTTTTCCATCATGACACTAATCTCAGTATATAATCCACTTGTGAAACATGTAATTTACATAGTTGGTAATTATTTCATTAATGTCAATTTTGCTAATAAATTCTAAACTTACTAAATTCTAAACTATGAGAAAAGGGACAGTCTTTGCTCTCACATGTCTAATGGCTGGGGAGTTATTAGAATAGTACTTAGCACAAAACACTCAGTAAGTGTGGAATAAATGGGTAGATGGATAACTGAATAAATGATAACTCAACTTTTAATCCTAGGTGAGACTATAAATCTGACAGAAAGTTAAGACGAAAAACTGGGAAAGAATTGTCTTTTCAACAAATAGTGCTGGGACATCTGGATATTCGCATACAAAAAGATGACCTTGGACCCTTATCTCATACCATTTACAAAAAATAACTCAAGATGGATCAGCAAACTAAATGTGAAAGCTAAAATTATAAAAGTTTTAGAAAAAAAAACAGGAGAAAAATCGTTCAGGCTTTGGGCTAGACAACAATTTCTTAGATACAACATCAAAAACATAATCCATAAAAATAAATTTGATAAACTGGACCTCATCAAAATTCACAACTTTTGCACTACGAAAGACAGCATTAAGAAAATGACAAGACAAGTCAAAGACTAGGAGAAATATTTGCAAATCACATATCTGATAAAGTACTTGTATCTAGAATATAAGGAACACTAACTCAGTAAGAAGACAAACAACCTAATAAATAATTGACAAAAGAACTGAATAGCCATTTCACCAAAGATATCCAAATGACATGAAAAGATGCTCAACATCATTAGTCATTAGAAAATGCAACAAAACCACAATGAGATGCACTTCACACCTATTACAAAGGCTATAATCAAAAAGCCAACAATAATAGTATTGATGAGCATGTGGAGAAATAGGAACCCTCATGCATTGCTAATGGGAATATAAAATGATGCAACTACTTTGGAAAGCAGTTTGGCAGTTCCTCAAAATGTTAAACAATTACCTATTATATGACGCAGCAATTCTAAGCCCAGATGTCTATCCAAGAGAAATGAAAACACACAGCAGCACAGAAATATGGATACACAGTAGCATTATTCAGAATAGCCAAAAAGTGGAAACAACCCAAATGTCTAGCAAGTGATAAATGGATAAATAAAATGTCGTAGAGTCAAACAATGGAATACTATTCAGCCAAAAAAAAAAAAAATGCAGTACAGATACATGCTACAGTGCAGATGAACCTTAAAAACATGCTAACAGAAAGAAGCCAACATAAAAGACCACATATTGTATGATTCTAGTCACATGAAATGTCCAAAAAGAGTAAATTTGTAGACATTTGCCTAGGGATGAGGACAGAAACAGGAATTAAGTATAAGTAGCCATGAGGAATCTTACAGGGATGATGAAAATGTTCTAAAACCGGTTTATGATGATAGTTACACAACCTAGTAAACTTATTAAAAATCACTGAATTGTACATTTTATAATATGTAAATTATACTTCAATAAAGTTAATTTTTCTTTTTCACTAGGAAGTTGGGGTATGAACACAAGACAGCCAAGATATTGGTTTTAGAGTTGCTCAATCCGTTAATGAGATAGCCAAGCATCCTGGAAAATTAGTAGGGTGACAGAGATATGGACTACAGAGACCTAATAATACAGATTTTTGGAGTCACCAGAAAAGACATGTCAAAGGGACTTTTTTACATGTCTTGAACTCTGTAGAGATAAACCCCTGTGAAAAGATCTTCAGCTGACTATGCTAACTCTTTTTCCTTTTCAAAGTTCTTCAACAGTCTTTATCCACTGCTTCCATTTCTTCCACTAGTCCATACTTTTTTAATCTCCTAAAGTCTGTGTTCCTTCCCTACTTCAACATTAAAGCTATTCTCTCAACTCGCTAATAGTGCCCTGTTTTCAAAACCAATGGCCTTTTCTGTTCCCATTCTTTTAAACTTCTCTGCAAAAAGCCCTGTCAAACTCCCATCCTTGAAACTCATCTCTTAGCTTCTATAACATTATACTATTTCTAGTCATCTTCTACTTCTCTGCTTTGGTTTTCTTCACCAAATCCTTTCACCTCCTACCTACCCCCAACTCACATCTTATCAAAATAAGGGAGAACCTTTGCTACCAAAATAAGAAAAAAATTAGTTTTTATTTCTTCTTCTCACTTACAAAATCTGTTTATTAACCCCAACCAGCTTCAAGTCACCATAATTTCTTCATCTTCATTAATTGTCCTTATAGTACTTAACAGAACTTTGTTCTACTTCCCCAATCAGAAAATAAATTCAGAGAACATTAATTTAGCTTTTCTCGACTTTGTAACCACTGAAAGCAATCAATGCAGAATTGTATGTACAATGAATGAAATTCAATATTTGTTTCTGACTCATCAAAAAATGACTGGGCTCTTATCATGGTGATCACTTCTTTAGGTATGTAAATGTTGAATAATTGTGGTGTACACCTGAAACTAATACAATATTGTATGTTAGTTGTTCTTTAATAAAATCTTTAAATTTAAAAATTTTTTAATTGCTTTTAAAAAAAGTTTAAAAAAATGACTGAATCATCCTAAGGAGATCCCAGGGAAGATATTTTGATCCATCTTATAAACTGTATTTTAAACATAATTATAAAAATAAGAACTTTGTGTGATCTTTTCATCATACATTTAAAGTTGTGATAAAGTCTCCTGGCAGTTAATTTATGCCCAGATGACTAACGATATTCAAGCTAAAAATGTTAAAGTTCTATAAAGCAAATTTAAATTCCTCCAGATTTCTAAAATTTGGAATCACAAAGCACAAAACTAAAAATAAGTAATGTCTATAAACACATAGCTCTAGGCTATTTTCTTACAGACTACTGGCTTCAGTCAAACTTAAATATCTTCAAAAAATTAATAACTTACCAAATCCCAAAGTCCAACTTGCCCAGATTTGGCCCCAGCTGCCACCAAAGTTTTAATTTCTGATGGGTGGAGAGCCATGGAGAGTATTGGACCTTTAGTAACTTTATAAACAGTATCTTCACTAATGACCATGCCACTCAAATTGGCTTTATAGCTGAGAAAATAAAAAAGTTAAATGTTAGTAGTAAAACCAAACTCAATAGATAAGTAAAAGATGACTCAAAAAAGAAAAATCACAATTAGTATATAAATGTAGGAAAATATACAACCTCTTAGCAACCCAAGAAATAAAATTAAACAATGTGGTACTATTTTTCGCCTATAAAAGCTAGCAGGCTGCATTTAAACATATACATTCATATATGTTGCTAGTGGCAGAATAAGTCCACATAAGATTTTCAGAAGGAAAAAAAGATTTTGGAAAACAATTCGGCAATGTGTACTAAAGCTATAAAAATGTCCATGATGTCTGACTCATTAATCTCACTTCTGGAATCTATTCTAAGAAAATAATCTGCCATCATACATATATACTTCAACAAATACACGCACACATGGAAACACACAAAACTAAATAGAAAACCACTCCAAATACCAAGGGAGTGAGAGGAGGTTAAGTAAATTCTACCTACTCAGTGGAATACATTTATTCAATGGAGTGCCTATACAATTATTCAATAAATTTAATGACTCTAGTAGCATGCAACCACAATGTTAATGAAAAAGCATAATGCAAAATTATACATACATTAGACCATGAGTAAAAATGTGTGGGGAGTCATTCATTTATTAAAAATTGAATGAATATATACATGTGCCAGGCACTGTTCTGGTTATTGAGACAAAACCCCTGCATTCATGAAGCTTATATCATAGTGGTATTGTATAAGGCAATACTTTAAAGGAAATAAACAAAAACAACAGTTGTTAAGGTGGAAATATCATGGTTAATTTTTTCACCTCATTTTCAAAATTTCCTGTAATGGTATAAAGTTTTTATAACTTAAAAGATCTCAAAAATGTAAAACAAAGGCAAGGAATTTTAACTTACCTTTTAATGCTAGGTAACTCCTTCTTTGTGTTCTTACTAGTAGTCTATAACAACGGGAGAGATCAAAGTAATGTTACTATATCTACTGAAATCTCATTAACATGATTCTAAAAGCTTAATAAACCCTCCCAAGTGATACCTTGCTCACTTCTGCCCAAGTATGTAGAAATCCTTTAAATAGTTCACTGTTGTCATCTCGATTTTCAGGAGTCATTTCTAAAGGTCCAGGAGGTAATAAAGGCTGTTATGAAAAAAAAAAAGAGAGAAAAATGTTGTTTGTCACCCTACTCTAGAATGTAAGCTTGAGGTTTTTCACTATTTTACTTTCAATACCAACAACAGGAGTGACACATTATCATTCAAAAAATAGCTGTTCAATGAATGAATGCCACGAATCCTGTAATATAATAGAATGTATTACCTCATTTAACCCTCTCAATAATCCAGTGAATGAGATATCACATTTTAAAGACACTGGAATGAAACTTAGAGAAATTAACTTGTCTAAAGTTACATTGTCAATAATGAGTTGCTGAGAATTGATTTAGATAGTTCAATTTCATTATTCAACATTATTATTCTATGCTAGTGTTTTTTAAATCACAGGTTGTAACCCATGGGTCGTGAAATTATTTTAATATATCACAACCAGGGTTTGGGGGGCTGAGTGAAAAAGGTAAAGGGATTAAGAAGTACAAACTGGTTTCAAAATAGGCACAAGGATGTAAAGTATAGCATAGAGAATATAGTCGATAATATTGTAATAACTATAGTGCCAGGTGGTACTAGAGTAATAACGGGATTACTTTATAAATTATATAAATGTCTAACCACTATGCTGTACACCTGAAACTAATCTACAATATTGCTTGTCAAAATTTTTTTTAATTTTTAAAAACTACTGTATTATATATTTGAAAGTTGCTAAGAAAGTATATCTCTTAAAAGTCTTCACAAGAAAAAAATTTTGTGACCCAAAAAAAGTCACAACCAGTGTTTTGGTGAATGAGAAGAAGAGAATAGAAAATACAAAAGAACATTACATGTAGTAAAGGTTAATTATCATTTCACAAAAGTTTTGTTTCAGTTGTCTGTGTATGTGTAATGAGTTCAATCTAAACATATTTCTAATTATGAGTGAAAGCTTCAAAAAACTTTGAAAGCTATTCTTCCCATAGCACCTAAATTTGCAATTAGCTCCCAAATCGCCAGCTTAATTAGCGCTATCTTACCATTCTTAGATATAAAGTATTAAAAACAGTAGAAGTTCTTGAATAAAAAAATGTAATCATAATCTTAGACAATAAATTTGGTAAATAATACTCTTTCCACTCACTAATAGTATAAAACTAAACTATAGCAAGGAACCCCCATCACTATTAACACATATTGTTTATTAATAATGTTAACTCCATTTATTACTTACTAAGCTGTTAATACCATGTAAGGATCTTTAGAGAAACTATTTCATTTAACCCTTACAACACCTTGTTGAGGTTTCTATTATTGTTGCCATTTAAAAAAGGGGAAACCATGACTCAGAAAGGTTGTTATTTACCCACGATCCTGCAACCGGTAAGCCTGCAGAAATAGAGTCCAACCCAGTTTTAATGGCTTAGAAATCTTACACATTAAACCATACAATAGTCAAATATTAAATTAATAAAGTACAAATTAAACATAATGACCTTTTAGTTGATTTTCAAACACTTCAAAAAAATTTCAGTATTTTATTGAGGTAATATATTGTCTTTGCACTCTTTCTTACATTTTCATCTGCTACTAATGCTGGCTGGGTTGGAGTTGCTGGTAATGAAATTCCTGAAGGATCTACATTTAGTAATCGCATTGACCTTCTACATCCAATTCCGTTTTCTCTCTTCTTAGGCTTCTTTCTAAAGGTGTGGGGAAAAAACTCCTGTTATACTCATAAAAATTATATGTATTTACTAATATTAAGGAGATAACTTCTAGGAACATATCTCACAAATATAGTTACACATTGCAAAGATGCATATACATGGCTACACTAATTTTAATTAAAAGTCTGGAAATATCATAAATGTTCATCATGGGAAGGTGAGGGGTGTTAAATAAATTATGACGTACATATCTAACACGATAATTTGCAGCCATAAAAAAGAATGAAATAGATTGTGTGCTGATATGACATGAACTCATAAAAAGCAAAAACAAGATCAGTATATATTAAATATGGTTATATTTGTTTTTTCTGACAAAAAGATTACATATATACATACATTTGTGCATGCTGAGATTACCTATGGAATAATATACATGAAACTATGAAAAGTGGTTTTCTCTACAGAAAAGGCCTGGAGAACTAAAGTCTAGGATGCGAAAGAGACAAATGTTTCATTGTATTCCCTTCCGTATAGTTTATTTTTTTAAATTTTACATATATCTCCTATTTTTTCATGAACTTTTTCATTTTAAAAAAGTAATTCAGAACTTCTAGCTTCTGGTTCTATATGTAGGGAACTTGAAAGTCACCCTTGATCTTCATCAGGTAAAAAGCTGAACAGACTGAAAAATCAACTTTTCTCGGATCCTTAAGAGAGGCAAGGACACAGTGTAAACCACTGACCCTAATGTTGGAGAGATATATAGGCAAATACAGGAGTTGTGGCTTATTGGAGCAGAGACTCAGAAACAGAAACCACTGTGGAAACTAATGCCACAGTAGGAAAACCTGAACAGTAACGGACCAATTGCCGGAGGCTTATGTGGACGAGTCTGAGAGTTAAAAAGTCCATGACGGTCCACACAAAAACCTAGACATGGATATTTATAGCAGCCTTGTTACAACTACCAAAACTGGGAAACAACCAAGATGTTCAACACTAGGAGAATGGGTAAACTGTGGTACATCCAGACAACGAGATATTACTCAGTACTAAAAAGAAATGAACTATCAAGCCATGAAAAGACAGGGAGGAATCATAAATGAGTATTACTAAGAGAAAGGAGCCAATATGAAAAGGCTACATATTGTATAATCCCAAAAACATAATATTCTGGAAAAGGCAAAACTATGGAGGCAATAAAAAGATCAAATTGCCAGCGGTGAGAGTGGTGAGGGGATGAATAGGCAGAGCACAGAGAATTTTGGGTGGAGTAAAAACACTCTGTATATTATAATGGTGAATGTATGTCATTATACATTTGTACAAAATCATGCAATGTACAAGAGTAAACCCTAAGGTAAACTAGAAACTTTGGGTGATTATGATGTATCAGTGTAGCTTCATCCTTGGTACAAATGTACCACTCTGGTGGGGGATACTGATAAAGGGGGAGGCAGTGCATGCGTTGGGGCAGGGGGTACATGGGAAATCTCTGTACCTTCCTCTCAATTTTGTTGTGAAACTAAAGCTCCTAAAAAAAACTGTCTTTAAAGAAAAACCTCAAGGGGGACTCACCCCCACAATTTTATAACATTTACATCCCGGAGCTCAGCCAGGACTCACAGTAAATATCAGAGAAAATGTCCCTCATGTTTCCCACCGGGGTGAGAAGGAACCATTTTGAAATACACTAGAGCAGACAGCTCTTAACAAGGCCTGCCTTCAGGAGAAACTAGTTAACCAAAGCCTAATCTGCCAGGGTATTATAACAGTTTAACTGACCTGGGTGAAGGGTAATACCCAACTCCAGTCAACTCTTGTCAACCTCTCCCACCTAAGGGAGGAAAAAAACTATAACACTTGTGAAATTCACAGTCCAGTCCAGAGGCATAAGATCTCAGAGACTGAGACCTAATCACAGGACTACAGAATGCTTTCCCTGCACCCGCATCTCACCACATTACTACAGGTCTATTCACAACATTTCCTTTTTCCCAGTAGTACATCATCTCCAGCTATCTAGAAAAAATTACAAGGCGTACTGAAAGGCTAAAAACATGATTTGAAGAGACAGAGCAAGTGTCAGAACCAGACATGGTGGGGACTTTGGAATTCTCGGACCAGGATAATTTAAAACAACTTTAATTAACATGCCAAAGGCTCTAATGGGTGAATTGAACAACAGAATGCAAGGATGGATGGGCGAGGGGAAGAGGGGAGCCAAAAAGAAATGCTAGAAATCAAAAATACTGTCACAGAAATGAAGAATGCCTTTGGTGGGCTTTATTAATACACTGGACATGGCTGAGGAAAGAATCTCTAAGCTTGAGGATATCTCAGTAGGAACCTCCAAAACTGAAAAGCAAGGATAAAAAAACAACAAAAAAAATTAGAATATCCAAGGTCTGTGGGATAACTACAAAAGGTGTAACATATGCCTAATGGGAAATACAGAAGTAGACAGAAAGGAACAGAAGAAATATTTATTTATTTACTTACTTACTTATTTATTTACCACATATTTGACCCCCCCTTACCCCATCTACCTCCCCCCTCTAAAATATTTGAAACAATAACTGAGTTTCCTCAAATTAATGTCAGACATCAAACCAAAGATCCAGGAAGCTCAGAGAACATCAAGCAAGATAAAAGAAAAAATATAATAATAATAAACCTAAACAATTCATTTCCAAACTACAGAAAATCAAAGATTAAAAAAAAATCATCAAAGAAGCCAGAAGGAAAAAAAGTACATTACCTATAAAGGACCAAAGACAAGAATTACATCCATCTTCTCAGAAACCATGCATATAAGAGAGTAGAGTGAAATATTTAAAGTGTTGAGAAAAAAAAACCCACCAACCTAGAATGCTGTATGCTGTGAACATATTAAGTCTTAAGAAGAAAGTACTTCATTAAATAATGTTAGGGAATGAAAAGCCTCTGAAATTACTTCCAAAAATACTCAAAGATCTCATCTACAGTCTACACTAGTTTGGAAGAATTCGTAATTATTATTCATTGAAAATATACTATGTGCTAGAAACTGTCCTAAGCATTCAATACCTCATTTAATTTTCAAAAAAAAGCCTCAGCATATGGGATAATTTAGGTTCTCAAATTATTAAAACAACTATGATTAATATTTATTAAAACATCCATAATTAATATTGAGAACCTTCCTAGAGAATCCCACTCTTAGAGAAACTCTCATATATAAGCACCAAGAGACTTAAGAATGTTCAGAGCAGCACTCTTATAATAAAAATCTGGAAAGAACTCAACTGTCCATCAACAGTAGAATATACCATAGTATATTCATACGGCAGCAAAAATTAATTAAATAAAGCTACACACATACACAAGTGAATTTCAAAACATAAAGATATAAAGATGAGCAAAATAAGAAAATCCCAGAAGAATATAAAAATGGCATTATATGTGAATATCAAAAAAACTGACAAAACTAAATGTATTGTTTAAGGATATATTCTTAGACAGTAAAACTATAAATAAAAGGAGTGACTATCACAAAATACGGCATAATAGTTGTATCTGGAGGGAGGGGTATATATGGCCCTTCAAAGACACTGTGATTTCTATTAACTCGAATGGCAGATACATGGATGGGTGCTTGTATTACTATTACATTTACAAATATACAAATATTTTATACATGCTTTTTATATTTAATAATTTTTAAAAATTTAAACCCCTCTGGATTGGCATAATACCAACTTTACAGAAAAGGGAAAAAAAATTGTGAATTGTCCAAAGTTAATATCACAGTTATAACTTGCTGAATCAAAACTTGAAATCAAATTTGCCAAATTTGAAGAGCTATGCTCTTTCTTCTATGTTATATAACTTCCAGTCTACCAACTTGCTACTAATACCTACAAAGTCACATGCCGCATAAGGACATTTTAGTCAATGACAAACTGCATGCACTACAGTGGTCCCATAAGATTATAATGGAGCTGAAAAATTCCTATCACCTAGCCTAACGACTCTGTAGCAGTAGGAACATTATAGCGCAAGGCATTACTGTTTTGTGCCTCTCTCAATTTATTGATTGCCATCAGCTAGAAATGCCTGGCCCAGTGAGCTCCCCATCGACATCTCCCCTTTCTAAACCAATGTGACAACTGGACCGACCCTTGTGGCTCTTATTCCAGTTGCAAGATGCCCTTCAACAATAATCATTAGGAAACTTTAAAGAAAAAAAGTTTTTTTTTATTATAGGCCCTGGCAGTACAAGGCATTGCCAGGGGACACACAAGATAGAGAAAGAGGTAGAGCTTGGGCCTGGGGTGCTGCTTTTATTAGGGTGGAAGATGGGGTCCTAGGGTTTCCTGGACTCACTCTTATTGGTGAATTTAAAACATAAGAGTAGGAATTTAAAGTGCTGGAAGAGAGGGAAAAAATGTAGCCCAAATAGTAAAGAAAGTTAATTAAGATCTCTTTAAAAAAAAAAAAAAAAAAAAAATCAGAGGGATATATCCTAGCATATTTACTAATACCAAGTGGCTGGCAATGTGTGTATTCTAGAGAGCCTTCCTTTATGTTTCTTTGAAATGAATGCCTCTTTGGAGTGGATGCCTAGGCAATCAAAGCTTAAGTCAGACACTTGAACTACAAAAAGAAAAGCCAACTGTCAGGGCTTACACTACAATTACGTGTTTCTGGTGGTGCTGCTGTTAACTAACCTACCGCACTGCCAGTGGTATAAAGGTACAGCGCAATTAGAGTATTAGGTTACACCATCTAGGTGCACTATATGATGTTTACACAACAAGGAAATTGCCTAACCGCACTTGGGAACAAATCGTCAATCTCTGCTAATAAAAATATGCACATGTAACGCTATTAATCAACTGGCAACAGAATCAGTGCTATTGTTTTTCAGGGTTAATGATGTTCCTCTTACAACATTTCACACTCCCAAATATTCGGCCATGATTAAGTTTAGCTTTTCTCGAGCTAATTGACCTGTATTGGAATCAAACCAAGTAAGTGATGCTATATTTCATTAACACTAGCACAAAACATGATCTAATGATGCCAAGATTTTTACTTTCTTCATTTATACATAAGCACTGTTAAAATGCTGTACATAGAACTTAAACTAAGGAATCCTGGAATTCAAATCCTAAAGCTTCCATTTATGAGCTATTTTGACCTTGAGCAGATTACTTTACCTCTTTGAGCTTGTTTTCTATCTCATAAAATGAATATGCCACCTCCCACATTTGGTTCTTATCAGAATTAAATGAGGTAATACAGGAAAAAATTTTTAGGACATTGCACTATATTTCACAGATGTTCAATAAATGTTAATTCCCTTATTACCAGAATAAGAAAAAAATTGAGATGCAAAAAGATAGCCAGAAAAATAAAAAGTAGAAGAATCTTTAAGAATAATCATTTTCTAGGCAAAAATAATAATTTAGTGGAAATAAAGATTTCCCTCCATTAGCAGCAACAGTATTAAATATAAACAAAATTCAGCTCTCAAGATTTGATTTCCTCTATATTCTTTTGATGAAGATGAGAACTTTAGAGTTATTAAAAGGATTTCCCTCAGAAATCCAATGAGGATTAAGATTACAGAGTTTCTGATCTGTTACTTATTTTACTATACCAAACCATTTCTTCAAATTATAAAACAACTCCCCAATATACCACAGTGCAGACATTGTAAAACAAATCTTTTACCGTTTGGATTCAGGAGGTTGTCTCTTCTTTATCATTTTACGGAGCCTTGCAGCTGACTGCAAAATACAAAAAAAATAGACACATAAAAATAATATAATCTTTTAAAGTAATAAGTATCTGCTATCATATCCACCTAAACTTCTATACTGGAAATAAAAATCCTTAAAATATTATACTTGTTCTTGGTAGCAGACATGAGACAAATATATTATCAATAATAAAGGCAAGTATTTAATACTGTCTAAAGTGCTGGTATTTTGATACCTTGAACCAGGTTGCTATTGAGTTTACATGATTAAACATTAAACGTTTAGTCAAATATACTATTACAAATTAAAAAGTTTAATTTCTACTGAGGCAATCCTTTGGTATTTTCTAGAAAAGTTATAGGTTAGACTTATATAAATCAAATCATAATTTCTGTTAACTAAAATAAAAACTAGAGATACTTTGTCTAAATTTCTGATGAATTTTCATTAATGACATAAATATAATTTAGTTATACAAAATTATATTAACTCTCCTTTCCTCTCCTCAAGATACAAACACACACTGAATATTTGGGAATCTGGTATTCGAGAAATCAATTAATTATTTAATAAAGCCAAGGGTTTGATGTCTCTTGAGGGAAAACATCACACACCCTCTTAAACAGCTACTCTCTCAAAGAACTTTTACCCTCTGTGTAAAGACATCAATGTAAACTATACCTTTAGTTATAATGATTATAAAACATTAGCATACATCTGGTCATTTATCCTTAAAGGTTTCTATATAAAGCATATTCCCATCTACTCTTAAACTTTTTTTTTTTTTTTTTTTTTTAAGAAAAAGCTTGTCCTCTCGCTCTTCTATCACACATCCGTCAACCTTTATCCTTTAAAGAAACCACCTGGAACATACCGTTTCTTTGAATCCAAGACAGTCTTTCATAAGACATCACTATTTTATATACCCCCAAAATGGGGGAGAAGGA